TTACATCCATATCCTGATGTCCCATGTCACCAGCCCAGACTTCTCTGAGTTAGAGACCTATTTATCTGTCTACCTACTTAACATCTTCCATTGGAAGTCTCAGAAACACCTCAAATTTATCTCTGTCCACCTCACAACCTACCCCTCTTAGAATTTTTTTTCTTTAGGAAAAGCACTACTATCCATCCAATTTTTCAAGACAAAAATCTAGGATCGAACTATTACTTTTCCCTCACCTCTCAAATTTTAGTCCACCAAATCTTATTAATTTTACCTCTCATATATCTCTCAATTTTTTTTCTCTGTCCCCAATCACCACCACCCTCGTCTAAGCACTAATCATGTCTCACTAGAACTATAGCAAAATCTATAATTCTCCCAGCAACCACTGTCTACGTTTTCCAACTCATTCTTCATGTGGCAGACAAAGTGGCCTTTTCAACACACAGATATGAGCACACAACTCTTTTTCATAAAACCTTTTAGTAGATTCTAATTTCCCTTGGGCTAAAAACAAAAATCCTTAATGTGGCTTCCACAGTTTTGCATGGACTGGTTCATGTCTACATTTCTAGGTTCATCAAGCACATATCAGCTAATAGAAATCTTCTTACTTTCCTTCATGTCACTTAATGCAGTTTGTAATTTTACCCTCGTAAGTGTGACTGCCTATGATTAATGTCTTTCTGCAAAACTAAACTGAAAACTTCACAAGAACAGAGACATTGTAGCCCCAGAACCTAGATGCTCATGAATTCACTGAATGAATGTGTAAATGAATGAATGAACAAATGAAAGACTACATGAGGGAATAAATGAAATGCTTTAGGTAGACATTGAAGAAGCGAATGTTTTCTATTCTGAGGACTAGTGCTTAGGAGTGAGTGTACAGGCTTTTTTCTATGTTCTTATTCTGTTCCATTTCACAAGAGAATCATGTTGATTATTTCCGCTAGAAAACAATGGACAATTCAATTGGACTTTCAAAGGACATAACAGCCTGAGGAGAGTTCAGAAGTGTGTTGTGTATCTATGAGTTGGGGTGGCAGCAATGGTTTATATTTTGACATATGTCATATTCCATACTACTCGGGGAAATTTGGTTTTTTACTCTTGAATTCTACTTTTTAACCTAAAATATTTGGACTAGAAATAAAGAGACACTGATTATAACTGCATACAAAACAGATTCAACCACTTTGACTAAACTGACCATTTGATTTGATAAAAAAAGAAATAGTGTAATGTTTGTTTGACTGCATTGGTCAAATTGGTTGTATGTGCACACAGAGACACAGATCTGTTTAGGATTTGACCACTAACTTGAGTAACTGATTTTTAAATTGTTTGATATTTTATTACGGTCCCAAGTATGTTTGCAACTATCAAGTGCTAGTCCTGATGGCTTTAGGTTTGCCCTAGGAGTCATTTAACTCCAATTGCGATCATAAAGAAGCTATGTGAAGGTTCTTGGAGAGATGATTATGGATAAGTTTCTGGTCTCCCCTCATGCCCTGCAAATCCTGGGACCAGAGGGTTTAGGACCGCCAAATTGAATAGAACATTAGAAGCATGTAGTCTTCATCCCAGAAGGGAGTGTAAGTAGACTAACTTCTGCAGGGTGTATTTCCAGACCTACTCTCACCTTTAGGAAACTTCCAAATGGGCTTGTGCTATAAGGATCCCTCAGTTCTCCTTTTCAGTATTTTCTATAGTATGCATGGTTTAGGATTTTTCCAAGTTTCTTTTATAAAACAGTGCTTTGGGACTATAGGTGCATTGATCTGACAAATATTTGTTGAGAATTACTATGTATCAGACTATAAATTAGACAATAAGTTCTGTGTAGTCATGGACCATGCCTAACCTATTCATCACTCTATTTCCAATATCTGGCACGTATTAAGACTTTAATAAAAATTTATTAAACAAATGAATGCCAAGTGCTATATTAGACGCTAGGAATTCAAAACATAACTGGGCAGATGATGACTTGGGACACAGCCCCTTTGATATCCACTCAGAGTGTTGTGGCTGCTTAACCAAAGTTATAAGTGTCGAATCCATGTTTGGCTTCCCTCTGCGGTTTTTACAGGGAGGGTGAAATACCCCTTCATGAGCAGCAGGGAAGTCATTCTGAGTGATACTGTCTATTTTAGAAAAGCAAAGGGAAATCAGTGGAAAGTAAGGAGCAGTGGTCAAGTATTCCACTATTGATCCATCCAGGAAAGTTCTGCTAGGGGAGACCTAAGTTCCTGGCTCGAGAGAATACAGCAGTGCAGAGAAGAAAGAGGCTGTTTCGTCAGTGGGTTACTAACATCCTCCCTGTTGTGAAGTAAATGAACTGAAAAACAGTCATCTCAGTTATTTTCCAGCTCTAGCAAGCAACCAATATTCTTCCTGTTTCAGATCCTGAGGGATAAGTGGGAAGAGAAATAAATTCTTCCACCTCTGCACAGACTGGGGCAGTTTCTGCTCCACGTATTCCCGAGAGCCTGACTTGGAACCCACAAATGGAAAAATCAGACCTAAATCATAGTCTCTGCTCCTGAAAAAGAGATGATGAACCCAATTTTCAGCCAGCCAGGAGGGGAACTGATTGTTTATTTGTTTATTTATTTTCCTTAGGGGCTTTCCTGCTCCTTTGTCACTCTGGTGTTCAGGGCTCAAAAAGCTCAGAGCTTATGGGCTGGCTCACAGCTCAGCAGTTATATCCTGATGGAGAACTTTCAGTCCTCTGCGTGTAATTACCCCACTCATTTTCCTAAGCTTTTTTCCAAACAAGAAGGAGATATTCTGCCCGAGGCTGCATATGCCTCCATTTCCACAGAGTGTGGAAGAAAGGCCATGGGAGAAATTCCCTGTCTGAATCCCCAAAGCCATGGAAGAGAAGGGCAGACTCAGAACAGATATACTAGGTCCTTGGTCCTTCTTTCTTTGAGTGGCTGTGATGAGGATTATTTGGGCAGAATCTGGCCAGGGATTCAATTTCCATTTCCTCTAGAAGATAATTGTAGTTTCTTTATTCTGAAATACAAATCCACTGTACATAATAATACATTAGCTTTCCTATAGTACTTTGCAATCTAAATGTGCTTTTACATCTTATTTCATCTGATCTGCATAACAATCCCGTGAAATAGATACCCTTATTCTCCTTTAAAGTGGTCTGAGGATATATAGATAACAAGAGGTATCGCTGGATCTAAAATTCTGACCTTCCTAGTCTGCTTAGAGGTAACAGGGAGTTAAGTGCCTTGTAAACTTGATCCACTCAATATGGTATAGATTGGAGAAGACTAATGGATTCCTGAAAGTTCTCTGTGGACGTGGTGCAATGCTTCATTGCCACTAACCCTTTCCCTCAGGATGGGCCCTTGCTGTAGTCTGAAGTAGTACTGCCAAATGCATTCCCAGAAAGCCAAGGATACATATTTGCATGTTTCCCTGCAGAGATTGACATAGTACTTTGTGCAGATCTGTTGCCACTTTTTAAAAATTTGAATTCCAGGCACATAAAATAAAATAATTTCCCTATTCTCTGGAGAATGGGGCTAGTCACATCAAGCTGCCTTACGTAAAGGCACTCTGACACATGTTCAATTAGAAGTAAATATTTATTCCAGGTAAGTCATCAAATCTTCAGTACACACTCTCTGATTCTGGGTGTGAGGTAGGTTTCTCCACCCCTACCCCAAGGAATTTGCCTGCAAAGGGAGCACCTGTGGGAATATTACCCCACAGTCTAATCCCTGTATGGAAATGGGATATCAAATTATATAATATATAGAAGGGTGCTTTGAATAATATGACATACTATATAAATATGGTATACTATGTAATTAAAAAGTATAATATTGTTTGCATTATTAGTGATAATAATAAATGGAAAGGGCTTTTGTGTTTTCTTCACCTCTGCCTTCCTCTTGTAGTCACGTAAGAAGCTTTCAGAATTTCCATTATCATCCTAAATAGCTTGTTAACTTGAAGACCAATTTTATTGTAAACCAGGAGTTTATGTAGACCAAGCACCACCATAAATGATCTCAAACATATCTGAGGGCACCGAAGCAACGTATAGATTATAAATATAATATGATACACAAAATAGTTCTGGGATCACCATGGTTTGGAATTGTGGTTGTTCTGTCTAGATGATCCAGACGGCCTTCATCAACTAGATGGAACTCCTTTAACTGCTGAAGACATTGTCCACAAAATTGCTGCCAGGATTTATGAGGAAAACGATAGAAGAGTGTTTGACAAGATTGTTTCTAAACTGCTGAATCTTGGCCTCGTAAGTCATACGCATGAGACTAAATCAAATTCTTAGTACAGGTTGGAGTATGCCAAGAAGCCAAGCCACTTGATTCGGGTGTTTATAATGCATCTACTTTATTCTAGTCGCCACAGGTTTCAAGGACAAGTAAGGACTAATTCTTTTCCCCCAGGAGTTTATAGTCTATCAGAAGAACTAGACAAGTACACACACGCCCATGATGCAAGCTGCTTAAAAACCGGAGAGCAGTTCAGTGTGCCAGAGAATAGCTTATATCCAGTTGGCAGTAAGGAAAGGCTTCAGAGGAAGAGGTGTTTGAAGTGAGCTTAGGAGGGTGGTTAGGATATAACCAGCAGAGATTAAGAGGCATGTGCGTGACAAAAGGAAATACCACGAGCAAAGGCATGCAGTGTGTGTGTGAGAACCTCTACGCGATCCCATCTGAATCCCCCTCAGCTTTGCCCCTCAGCTCTGGGCAGCCCTGACAGGATTTACTAAGACGCTAATGCTGTGGAGCTTCAAAGGTTGCCTAAGACCAAAGCTGTGGAGGAGCAACTCTCAGGGCGTTTCTCAAAATAAGTGTTCCTTGGTCTCAGCAGACGGCACTGACCGTGGGCCCAGAGATGCTTCCAGGAGAGCGGGGCAGTCACTGAAACAGCCGGCACGTAGTGGAGGCATAAGCCGGGGCTGTCTGAAAGACGGTTTGGAAAGTTCCTGTTTTAAAAATAGATGTTCAACTACAGAGTTTAGTCCTGATTTTTTGTTTTAAGTCACAAGACTGGGAATAGCAGTTATGTGTTTTGCTTCTTTCTAACAGATCACAGAAAGCCAAGCACACACACTGGAAGATGAAGTAGCAGAGGTTTTACAAAAATTAATCTCGAAGGAAGCCAACAATTATGAACAGGATCCCAATAAACCCACAGGCAGGACTGAGAATCAGGCTGGAAAAATACCAGAGAAAGTGGTATGTACATGTGTATGTTGTGTATGTGTGTATATGCATGTGCATGGATGTGTGTGTATGTGTGTATATATGCTTGTATCTGTATGTAATTAATACCTTACCTGGTGCCAAAACATATTTGAGGTATGTGGCATTTTTAGCCTGTTTAAGGCTGATGACTATGTTTAAGGCTATGGCTCATGTCTGTGATACCAGCACTCTGGGAGGCCGAGGCAGGAGGGTCACTTGAGGTTGGGAGTTCAAGACCAGCCTGGCCAAAATACCGAGACTTCATCTCTACCCAAAAAAAAGTAAATTCATAAAATACCAATAAGTTAAAAGATATAAGTGAACTCTACTTTGAAAATAGCTAAAAGATTGCATGTTATAT